AGCGCGAAACCTGCGGGAATGACTATAATGCACAATACAAGCACTATTTAACCAGAGCGAATGAGACGTGTGAGAGAGAAGAGGTCATCTGAGAGATGAGAGTGAGAATGCGCGGCTGATGTTATTGCCTGTGCCGCTGGTAACAAAACAGATCGGCTCGAAATCGGAAAGAAGTGAGACTGACCGACCAATCACCGATCCGGGCCGATCAGGAGGAAAATCGTCCGATTCCAATCCCTGGCCGATCGATCGGTGCATCTCTAGTCAAATGTACAATACTGATGTATTTACAGTATCTAAAATGCATTTGTATTTGTATTTCATTTAAGAACACATACATAATTACATCATTTTAAACAAGACTACATTTCAAAATCATAAAATGAATAGCATTTGTGCAATCGTTTACCCATTACTTATACAATATTTATTTTGTTTGCCGTGGAACAAGGCAGTTTTGACTTTAAAAACACAAGAAAACAAACCATAAAATGGTGCTGTAAACCACATATTCAGAATCCATTTTTTTTTCTTTGGAACTGTTGAACCGAATCATTTCTCTGCTATTCTAATGGATTTTGAACTGAATCTTTTGGATTGAATCTTTTGAACTGAATCTTTAAAACAAACTTCTGAACTTTTTGAACTGAACTTTCCAAATGAATATTTTGAATAATGTTGAAAAGTAGTTATGTTAGGTATGAAATGTGCATATAAATACATTTGATATAAAGGATTCAAAAATATTATAGTTTCTATAGCTATAAATATGTAAAACAGCTTACATTTTAGATGTTGTCAGAATGTCCATACATTGCATATTTCAGCATTTACCTAAACCATTATGTGGAAATGAGTGGTGAGTACATTCTTCAACATTTCTCCTCTTGTGTTCCACAAAAGAAAGAAACTCATATGTGTTTGTAATGACATGAGGTTTAGTAAATAATGACCGTTATGTCATTTTGTCGAACTGTCCCTTTAACAACTGTTGCACATCTTCAGCTGCGTTTTGATTAAAGTGATTGCAATACTCTCATATGATTATGCACCGTCTGAGATGGGAGAAAAATAGCTGACCTGCCATTCTTTGTGTCAAAGGAATAACCATTAAAGGGTCTCCTCTTGAAAGAAGTCCCTGTTTCTTTGTTAGAACGATGTCAAACTTGAGCTGAGGCACTTAAAAATGCAATTAACATTACTCAAAGAGATGCCTGGAGATTGTATGCTATTTCCGTTACATCCGCTGTTTCTCAGAAGGTGCTTCATGGGAAAATATGCTTCCTGTTGTCAGTTATGATGCCAGCCGTGGAGAAGGTGTTGGGACAATAAGATATTAAACAGGCCCATTTATTTGGATCAAAGTGATGCAAAGCAGTCTTCTTGCAAATTACGTCTCTTATGCAAACATGCCGTGAACTAAAACATTGGACGCGGCTATATTACCGTCTTGTCAGAATGGCCATTTCTGGATATCTTTGGTATTGTATCCAAGAACACAGTCCACAGTTTGTCTCTAGGGAGGCACTTCATTGATTTTAGCCTCGCCAATACCTACACCTACAGCTGTGAAACCACATAACCCGGATACATCTGAGCTGTGTGACAAAAGTACCATTAATCGCTGCTGATGTTTAATCTTTATCTTCTCAGAGATCAGATAACATTAGATAAGATTATTACAGGAGATCAGATAACAGCCTAACATTAGAAGTATTTGCTGAGATGAAGGCCTTAAAGAGGTCATATGGTGCGATTTCAATTTTTCCTTTCTCTTTGGAGTGTTCCAAGCTCTTGGTGCATAAAGAAGGTCTGTAAAGTTGCAAAGACTAAAGTCTCAAATCCAAAAGAGATATTCTTTATAAAAGTTAAGAGTCAGCCACGCCGACCTAAAACGGCTCGTTCTAACACGCCCCCACATGTCTACCTCACTATGTGGGAAGATTTGCATAATGCCGCCCAAATGTTCACGCAAAGAAAGAAGGCGTAACTTTGATTCTCGCTGTAGTATTGTTGCTGCCGCCATGTCGTGAAGACGCTGTGTGTTTCGTTGTGAAAGCACCATTCTCAAGCCCGCCGACCGTTCCTCACTCAAGCCGGCCTCCGCTCACTCTAGCCCACCGTGTGTGACGCTGTGTGTTTTGTTGTCAAAGCGAAACTACTTTGTTTGGTCTTCCAAAAGAGGACACGACTAGAAATCAGTTCAACCCAAATATTCAGATGTGTGCACTGTGCAGCACATTTTATGGAGGACTGTTTCCTGATTTACACCAAATACACAAACTAATGTTCTTTTTAGCAACATCATATGACCCCTTTAAGAAACGTTACAAGATACATGATTTATTATATTTATTTTATCTAATCGCTATTAGAGCACAACAGTGGCCGCCCACATTTTCACTGGCCTTGAAAGTATTTTTGCCCATGCATTTATTGTCTTTATTGGCATGTAAAAAATTATTCTATATATATATACAGTGCTGTGAAAAAGTTCACCATTGTTCCAAGTTTTCTCCATTTGTGGATAACGGCTCTAACCGTGTTTTGCTGGAGTCCCAAAGCCTTAGAAATGGCTTTATAATCCTTTCCAGACTGATACATGTCAACTGTTTTGATTCTCATCTGTTCTTGAATTTCTTTAGATTGCGGCATGATGTGTTGCTCTTTAAGCATGCTTCACTTTGTCAGACAGGTTCTATTTAAGTGATTTCTTGATTCAACAGGTCTGGCAGTAATCAGGCCTGCGTGTGGCTAGTGAAATTTAACTCAGCTTTCTAAAATAATGTGGTTAATTGCAGTTCTTTCATGATTTAACAGGAGGGGGCAATTCATTTTTCACGTAGGACCACATAGGTTTGGACAGCTTTTTTCACTTAACCCTCATGTGGTGTTCGGGTCCTTTTTGCTCTGTAACCTCGTTAGTGTGAAAGGGTTCTGAACACAACACAAGGGTTAATAAATGAAATCATCATTTAAAAACTGCATTTTGTATTTACTTGCATTATCTTTGTGTAATATTTAAATTTGTTTGATGATCTGAAACATTAAAGTGTGACAAGCATGCAAAAAAATAAGAAATCAGGAAGGGGGCCAACACTTTTTCACACCACTGTATATATACAACATATACTTATATGAAATCTTTGCATTACATTAAATTGATCTTCAGAGTATGCATTAATTAATTAATGTTAATTATTAATATTCTTTACACTAAGAATGAATAATAAATCTATTTAAGAATAAAATGGCTATTTTATTTTATATAATACTGTGGAAATATAGTATAATTCCTAGATCTAGCCCCTTTACGCTTCTCTGCACGCGATCTTCAAGAACTGCAATATTCACATGGATAATTTCAAAACTGTTCACTGTGAGAAGAAAAAACTAAAACACCAAGACCGTTCTACCACACACTTCTCTAGACTAAACACATGACTGCATCCAAGTCTTCTAAATACAGAAACTCAGACTGCTGTGAAATGACAAGACAATGCCCATAAGCTCCTCACACTCTAAACCTATGCTGACAAATGCTCCCGAGCGGAGAGTTGCCAGTGCATAACACAGTATCTGTTATTGTTGACAAATGACTCTTGCACAACATGTTATTGTGCCTCACTGTCTCTGGATGAAGTCCAGAATTCTTTATTTTCTCTAAAACAGTGGTGAGATATAGAGGGTATGAGGTAGCCTTTCATTTATCAATTGCACGTCACGTAAAAAGAAAAAAATGCAAAGATCAAATGGTAAAGGATCAAGTGAGCAGCCAATATGCTAATGAAAGAAAACAGTATTCGCCAATAACATCTAGCAAAAATTAGCAATAACCAGAAATCTCCAATAATTGTATAAAAATGAAATACTGACTCACACTGTGTTCTCATACAGTACTGTATGTTGAGATGGAGGCTTTCATCTGGATCCTGAAAAAGCCCTTCATCAATCATTTGCATGTCATGGAGGGGAAAAAATTACCAAGACCAACTTATCAAGTCACCAGCCAATAATGAACGGAAACAAAATTTGCCCATAACCGGCAAGTATGCTAATGAGACATATAGTGTGGAATTTAGACATGATTATAAATAGCAAAGGACATGCTCACATGGTCAGAAAAACACCAAATATGGACCTCAATATTCATCATTCACTACAGTCTATATTGTCTCCCAACAGTCCAAAATTATTGAAGTTATATATATGCAGCAAAGGGGTGGAGGGGAATATTAGTTATGTAAACCTGATTATTGTGTAAATGCATACATACAATACAAAACATACTATATTTATGCATATATATATATATATATATATATATATACTGCAGTGTTATCTGTTGCATATTTTGGTATTTTGAAATATATAGGACCAATCAGTCTTTTTTTCTTTCTGTGCACCAATTCACTGCTAATGGCACATACTGTAGGTTTGTAGCAGTATTTGTGTGATCAATTAATGCATCAGTTGTAAATCAGTTCAGAGTGGATTTCTATAGGAATACTCTGTGCATCTGTAAAAAACACATCAGTCACCTCATACAGCTATCTGAAAAATCATTCACAATGACCATCAAACTGCATGATCATGAAAGACGCATCTTGGCTAGTCATGCGTGCAATGCACTACATGTTTTAATCATTAAAAACTCCAATGACTCAGATTAAGAATTAGATAATGACAGATTTGATCTGATAAAATCATGTGTCTCATCAAACTCTTCCATTCACACGAGACAGGGCAAGAGACTGGAAACAGAAAATAAGTGATGAATGATGTGCACTGTTAACATCGTTTTTAATTGAAAAGCAGACATATCCGTGTCTCAATAATCCAGTTTATTTTAGCAATATTCACTTGGCAACAAGCCATTACCAGGCAACAGTGCAAACTTGATACAACTTTAAAGGCACCACTAAACCGTCGTTAATATCAGAGGAACTTGCAGAAACCTTTAAACACCAGCATAACATACAAATGAAGTAATGACTTACGCTGTGATGTGATGTGTTGAGATGAAGGCATTCCCCTGGAAGGCTCACGCTGGAATGTGATGTTTCTCCTCACGAGACAGATGAATGTCTTTCACAGGTGCACACGAGCGCTCGTGCTCTCATACTGACGCACGTGCGCAGCTGTGTAAATGAGCTACTAGACGGAGCGACTGCTTGATACAGGTACATTTAGTTAGTGTAATCGCTATATGCATCACTCATCTCTCTCTCTCTCTTGCAATATTAAATATTCAGGAGGCTTTACTGGCTATGTGCTTTACAAAAAAAAAAGAAAAGAAAAAGCGATAGGCGATATAAATGTACATATTATTAGAAGTAGTACACACATATTATTGTTATATGAAATGAATACAAATATGCATTTTGCAATTGAAATAGCCTACGCAGTTTCCCACGAAATCCGACCCGACAGATCTAAATGAAAATCATTAATAACAGTTTGACATGTTGAAACAGGCCAGGGTAAGGCAACACACGATTAGAAACGAATTTATTATCCAATAACTCATTATTTATATTTGGAAAAGACAAACAGACAGCAACAATAGAAAACAGCTATAGATTTGGAGCAATTTTTGGCATCACTCGGAAATGTAGCAAAAACACAATCATTACCTTCACGGAATATAGGTAAAATATCAGCTTTAGCTAAGTGCAAGGCCAAATGTGCTTTTGCAGTCACCCTTCCATGGCTTTTCACAAGTTTACATTAATATGTGCCTCAATAATGTCTTACTAATGAGACATGCTTGTGTTTGTAATGAAACAGAGCAAAACAGCAGTGCAAATGGAACTCTTTTAAGTTTTTGAAAGGATACAGAATATGCAAAGCATCTTGAGGACGCAGTATTAAAACAAATTGATATTTTACTATAAACTCATGAACAGTCTACAGCAATCATATCACATAATTATATGATTCAACTTTTTCCTTGGGGTGCTTTTTTAGGAGCAAAAACAGCCATGGTAGTTAACATGAACATCACTTTTGCAGCTTACTATTTCAATAACTTGTTTCAATAAATTGCTCTTGAAGGGGGAAAAATTGTTTCTAAAAGTTACAGTGTGTTTCCAAAGTACAAGTCTTTTATCTCAAAAGATCAAGGGAATTGTAATTCCTCATGATATCACGTTTTTACTTCAGTGAAGATAAATTTGATTTATTATTTGAAGAGGATGTGACCTTTGTGGCCTCTAGATATACATACATTAGTTTTTCCATATATTTAAAGGGATAGTTCGCCCAAAAATGAAAATGTGATGTTTATCTGCTTACCCCCAGGGCATCCAAGATGTAGGGGAATTTGTTTCTTCAGTAGAACACAAATTATGATTTTTAACTCCAGCCGTTGCAGTCTATCAGTCGTATAATGCATGGCAATGGTAACAAAATCTATGAGTGTAAAAAAAACATGCACAGACAAATCCAAATTAAACCCTGCGGCTCGTGACGACACATTGATGTCCTAAGACACGAAACGATCGGTTTGTGCCAGAAACCGAACAGTATTTATATCATTTTTTACCTCTAATACACCACTATGTCCAACTGTCTTTGGGCGCGTGCACGGCATCCGGTGCGTGAGGTGTGTACGCGCTCTGGCGTAGTTTACGTTAAAGGGTGTGTTGATATCCAGCCGAAGAGCAATCAACCATAACTTCAGGCAAGCAGGCTCAGAAGTTGGGAATAGGTGGAAAGTCACCACTCCCGAATGAGTTCACACGAGAGAACGTAATCTTTTAGTTTTAAGTCTGTTTGAACAATCTGGATAAGCGCACGTAAGTACCATTTTGATTAGCCGTCGTACCTACAATGACTGTGCACTGTGTAAACAATGAGTGACATATACGTGCGAGAGATCACTTCCGGCGCTTGCGTAAACTACGCCAGAGCTCGACACACACCTTACGCACCGGATGCCTGCGTGCGCCCAAAGACAGTTGGACATAGTGCTGTATTAGAGGTAAAACATGATATAAATACTGTTCGTTTTCTGGCACAAACCGATCGTTTCGTGTCTTAGGACATCAATGTGTCGTCATGAGCCGCAGGGTTTAATTTGGATTTGTCTGTGCATGTTTTTTTTACTCTCATAGATTTTGTTACCATTGCCATGCATTATACGACTGATAGACTGCAACGGCTGGAGTTAAAAATCATCAAATGTGTTCTACTGAAGAAACAAAGTCACCTATATCTTGGATGCACTGGGGGTGAGCAGATAAACATCACATTTACATTTTTGGGTGAACTATCCCTTTATGTGACCTATCTTTTAATCAGACGGTTACAATGAGAGGAGCTAAATGTAATTTGCTTGCAAGGTTTATATGATGCATAGTAATACAGTTCCTTTTCAGATATGTACATATTTTGCATATGTTTCCATTCGCCCAGAGTCTAGAATGTGTGAGTAAACTAGAAACAGCATGTTTCAACAGCCAAGTTGCCTTCCAGACAATGGCGAAAAAGCAAAAAATGAAGGTTTGGGAATTTAATTAGTGGAGCTGTAGATGCTGAAAAGGTCAAACTGTCACTGTCAGTGGCCTTTGACTTTCTTTGTGCATGCAACAGTGAGGCCCTTTTCATTAGTAAATTGGTCTCATCCTCCCTCTTTAGCTTGTGGTAAACTGTAAAATGTCTCCAATTAAATGGGCAGTTTCCAAAAACATCCAGAGAATAACTCTTCCTGTCTCGCTGAGTTAGCATTCCCAGCCCTCTCCATGAGCATTTGGCCTTTGCCTAATTCTAATCAGCTCTAATGCGAGCTCAGTAGTGCAACATTTTCATTTTACAGAGCAAGTAATGCAGGCCCATAACCACCACACATTGAGGTGGACAAATCCACCCAATATTTAGAAATGGCCAAATTGTGTTGGTCTGCCTCAGCGGTTTCCCAGCGCTCAACATGATTGAGATGACCAAACCAATCAAAGAAGCCTGACTTCACTGTTCACATAAGCCAAATGACACTTAAGCTTTAACAAGTCAAGAGTGTGAAGATGTAAATAGAAACATTTGATATTTGACAACTGTTTTACGATAGAAATGTCAAACAACCAATGGCAACGTCTTGTGATGTCATTTTTTTTGCCATTTTAAATATAGGCTATAATTTATGCAATGCAAGTAGTTCATTAGTGCTGAAGTAAGTAATGAGACAAGAAACACCGACGCATATTACATTGGCAAACGTGTGAATGCATACATATTTTAACATAAAATATTTCTTACAAATAGTTCAAATTCATTACCTTACAATAAATTCAAAATTTTTAATGGTTGTATTTCCCTTTCTTTATTCCTGATGTTCAAGACTTCAAGAATTGCTTATGGCCTTGATGTAATAGTGTATTGTTTATATTTTTAATATAACATCCTCCATTCATATAACATGAACAGAACAGAACAGATGGTGGTCAAATGGACCCACTGAATAAACTTAGCATCCTTCTCCAGAAAATCTCATAGGAAAACATTACCATAAACCATTTATCCTTGCACCACCAAAACATCACAGATTGGACATACAGAGACAAAAAATAAATAAATCTTCCTTATATTTTCCAGCAGAAAATCATGCAGGTTTGAAATGACATGAGGGCAAAAGGTGAGTAATTTTAGCCTGGAGTAAAGAACTGGATGGCACCAGACTCACATTTTGATAGTGTAGGATAAAAGTTGCTTGAATAATGTCTCTTTATAAAAGTGGAGGGTTTTTTAAGCACAAATAAACAGTTACTCACTGTAGTTGTCAGTCTATTAGTGTTCTAATCAAAGCTGCTTTATATTCTTAACAGAACTGCAGCAACGGCAGCAAAACAGCCTATTTTGGATGAAGGAGGTTTCGTCTCTGTTTCAGTCACTTGCTGGTGGTTCTGTCTCAATAAAGTCAATTGCTAATACAGAAGCATGCGTTATGCAGCCAGCCACAGATGCGTTTTGATCATTTCTCTTCCCCTTACTGTTTTTGTCAGGTATTGAGGCATTTTCAGACCCAGAGTTTGGGGAATACTTTCTCTCTCTGTGAAGTCGGTCCTTTCATCTTTGTTTAAGCCCTTAGTTTTGTGACAAGTATTCGGGAACTGTTGCATACTGCGGCTCATGCAAATCATGCTAACTCTGAACAATGGACAAATTTTCTCTGTTGGTATATGCTGAGAAATAATTTCTCTGACGGCACACGGTCTCTGCAATATGGTTAAAATGGTTCGAGTGAGGAGCAAAATGTCGTTTTTGATATATGGGTTTATGGAGGAATTCTTTGGATGGTGGAAAATCAATTTATAAGAAATGTAAAAACAAACCTATTGAAAGTCAATTAAAAAAAATTTGGCAATCAAAAAGACACATTGAATATAAAGGTGAAGTGTTTTCTTGATGTGTCCAATCCCAGCTTAACATCAAAGGATGAGATTCATACTGTACAGTGATTTTCCTTAAAAATGTGAACAGTGTGAAACACTGTGTCTCTAGGGATGCTATTAACATATTGCTCTTTTTGTTCTCTTTGTTGCGTCCTAACCAGACAACAGCAGCAAAGATGGGTGCTTCTCAAACAGAAGACTGTCCTTCCTAGTCCTAAACTCTCAGAAAAAAAAGGTACAAAATTGTCACTGAGATGGCTGTACCTATATGGTACATATTAGTATTTTAAAAGTATATACAGTATCGGTACTTCAAGTGGACACCTTTTTAAATGGGTACTCCCCAGTGACAGTTCTGTACCTTTTTGTTTAGGGAGTGAGTGTAATCTAGATTCCTCCTCAGCTTTAAAGGCTAGAATGAGACTGTCAGGTAAATCTGCATGGCTGTTATAAAGGTTTCCGTTACTTTAGTCATGACGCATAAATACATGACGCAAAAATTTATTTTGTAAAAATACTTTTTTAAATCCTTTATTAAAACTGACTGTCTATTGTTGCACTCTAGTGAATGAGAATTGCATGTCATAGTCAGTTTGGCATTATGTGATTAACCTTACCACAAAACAAAAGAAAACAAAAGCCTTGATGTACAAAGACAAAAAAGGAAAAAACATTTCTTGCCTTGCATTTCATAATGAATTTGGGCAAGATCAGTGCG